TTGACTAATATCAAAAAGTTCCTTAATAATTGATTTCAAAAAAACAAAAAAAAAAAATAAAAAAAACATTAGTTTAAGTGAATTGTAAAATATTTCGATATTTAATTTAAGAAATTTATAAGCACTTTTTAACTATTTTTTTATATGCAGTAACTAATATACAGTAACTAATATTTGATTTGTATTTGTGCAGTTATTAATCAAAGGAAATATTGGAATTTCGAGAATTAATCTTTGATAAATCGCATAAAATAGGTCATATACGTATTACCGTATGTGGCCATTTACAGTAAAAGTCTAAAAATATTTAACATTCAATTTATTGATATACAGTATATGTAATATTTAACCATTGAATATTTTATGAATCGCTTTTTGATGTTGGCTTGAAGATTTTTTTTTGCGCAAGTTATTTGAATTATTTATTACTTTTATCTTTAGGAGGCAGCAGGATAAATATCGTAAACAAAACAATGATGTGAAATACGAAATTGTTCAAAAGTTCATTTGTATAACTCCCTACAATATCAGAATGGTCTGCTTAAAATTTTTTAATGGCTGGCTCCCAAAAGAACGACGTGTCCCTTCTTAATTAACGTAGGCATTTTACGCTTCTTATTTTGATCCGGTTTATGCCATACGATACTAGAGACTGTAAATTTAAAAATACAAGGGAAGACAAGTTATACTTTTAATCAATGCAATAATTTCTGACAATTGAGAATATTTATACAGTATTTCACGTTCTTCTAAGCCCAATCTTGCAAAATACAGAAACAACAATCATTCAAAGGTTCAAGGCCAACAAGATTCTTACCATTTTGCGGCTCACGAAATCGTTCAGAGTTTGGACTCTTGGGAATATTTTCGACCTTCCAAGTTCTGCTATGTGTTACATTTTCGCAGACAATAGTGTCTCCTTGGATCTCATAAATATGATCTGTTTGAATATCGTGTACAAGCGTGGCACTTCGATCCTCTTGAAATTCATCTGTCTGTATTCGACCGATTAAACACTCCTTGACATGTTTGGACCCTATTTCGGAATTTTGAAGTAAAGATTCATACTCATCCAAAAAATAATAATAAAGGTCTTCTGCCGATGGTCTCTCAGAAGGATCCGAATCCCAACATTTTCTCATCAAGGCTTCAAAAGATGGAGGTAATCCATCAGGGATTGGTGGTCGACGTCCCGAAGTAATATCAGAAATAAGGTCTAGGTCATACGGAAGGTTGGAGAACGGCGGGTGGCCAACAGTTGCATGATACATAAGCATTCCCATGCTGTATATGTCGCTTGCCGTTGTATATGGTTGTTTAAGAAAAATCTCGGGCGCAATGAATGGAAGGTTTCCATAAATGTGAAGGGATTCCATATTCGCCGGGCCACAAATACCAAAGTCCGAAAGATTAAACAAATTTCCCGCAGATTTTAAAATATTCTTACTATGGAGATCACGGTGGATAAGGTTCTCTTTGTGCATATTAGCAAGATCCTCTAATTTTTCGTTATTTTAAATGTAGTTTGGACTTATTTACTAAGAGCCTTTACCGAAATCATTCATCTTTTCTAATGATTAACTCACCAGAGATGTTATAAAATATATTATATATATCTTTCCAAGTTATAGAGCCATAGGAGTTTTTTATGTAAGAACCAAAATCTTGTTCATAGTTGGCAAGTACCAGGATATATTCACCAGTAGAAGGGTCTTTTGTTACACCGTAACAAGTAGCAACGGTGTAACCTCTTGAACCAAGTAAAATATGAACCTTTAACTAGTATGTAAAAATAATGTTACTTCTAAGATTCTAACGACAATCTTAGAATTTATGATAATTACCTCCTCAAGGAATTTTTCGTCCGCATGTTGACTATTTAATAATTTTTTAAGGGCCACGACACCTTCATTGCTTCTAACAAACTCTTTTTTTTCATTGTCAAATGATAATGCGACTCCTTTCTTCCAAATAGCGGTATAAATAACTGCGCATCCACCACTTGCTTTATATTTAATATCATCAAGATCGTCGAACGGTATCCATTCAATTAAATATCTTGGCAACGGGAGGTTTATTTGTGATTGCCGGATTGCTTGGTCGATGATTTTATTTTCTGACGTCCAATTTTCGAAATTTTTTTCAAGAAGTTCTCGCGCACACTGATCGCAAAATAGAATTGCGTATTGGGGTCTTCGACATTTTTCGCATGTGCGGGTAGGTTTTTGAAGCCGAATGAGATTCTCACGATCTTTTATGAAGGTAAAATTTTCTATCGCTTTATTTTTCTCAAGGTCGTTTAATAAAGTGGTTTCTCTTAATAACGTCACTACACCATCATATTGTTCATTGACATTATCTCCAGGTGTGGAGAGTTGAGCTTTGTCAGTTTCAGAATTTATCAAATCCCATCGAACTTTAGCAATTTCTGCATCCGCATCTTTGCATTCCATATTTTCATTTTAAGATGACACTAATTAATAATACCGTAGTCATAAAAGAAGAAACATTTCTTATACATACGTATTTACGTATAATCCATATATTTTGCTACACTAACTTTAAACAGCTTTATTTACATACCCGTACCACGCCTTGTGGGATAGTCGACGCCTAATTTAGTAGTCAAGACTTTTTAGTATATGGTTAGGAACAATATCAGATTTTTTGTTATGCATAGCCATTGTGGATTACAAAACCTTAAATTTTATTATTATTAGCTTGATGCTTTATACTGTAAACATAATACTTTTTTTTTTTTTTTACTATCGGAAATACGTTACGTATACGGTAATTACTCATTTCAGATCCGTATCTAGACGCGCACGGTTACGTATGTCACAAATCTGACAAAGTCACGAATTGTTTGGAGAAAGTGTGTGCGATGCACGTGAATGCTCCGCGATGTAAAAACAATAGGTGACTGTGAAGAGTTGCTACAATATTTATATGCAAGAGTATTGATGATTTTAGATATGAAAAATTTATTTTTTTTTTTTTTTACGTCTTAATTAAGACGTGGACTATATACTGTATGTAGTAGAATTGTTGATTTTATCATAATTCTACCATTAATAGGTTTTATCAATTACTATTAAAAATATAGTAATTCTATATCTTGTAAAGTTTCTAAAATTTAATTTTACCATATATAGTTACTTCCAAAAATTTTAGTCTGCTTATTATATTTATATTATAAAATTTCAACTTTGTCAATTTTTAAATATTTAATTATATAATCAAAAATTATAATAAATATCATATACAGTATATTCATTATCTCTTTCTGCTGATTCTCTGATTACACACAAAAAAAGATATTCACAAGAAGTTTTATACTTCCTTGCTAATAAAGTCTTTATACTTTCATTAAAACAACTTGAAGCTTGTTATCATTTATCTCTCCTACCCTTCCTTACTTATTTATAAATTCCTTTGAATAAAAACTTGAGCCTCTAATGGTCTGAAAAGATACAAGTACACACTTTTTCTACTAAAGACAAAAAGGTTCTAGGAAGTAAAAAAACTAACAAATGGAGTATCAACTTACAGAGCTGGAAGTAACAAGAAATAGAAATTTTGTTGGCAAGTGAAAGTTTATTTTCCATTTTCTCACATGCTGTCTTTTACACTTTTAAAGTGCTTACTGTTTTTTACAGTTTTCTTGGAAAATTTTGCCTATCTTAGTTTGATCTTGAATTTCTGATAGCACAACATCATCTGATATTTAATTAGTTGATATAAAATATACAGTAGTTAAATGTAAACAAACTTCTATTGGTCACTTCACAAGTTTCAATAATGTCATTAGTGATTGAAAGAGAAATTATTGATACGAACTCCTCCACTCCTCCTAATGAAGTTTAACTGAACCAAAGAAATTATGAAGCTATTAGGATAGGCACTAAATTCCATAAATGGTGAAAAAGTGATTATTAATTCAAGTCAAGACTTTCAACTTCTTATTATACCAGTCAGGCAAAATATGTGAAAGAGGTTATTTCCTTATCCTGATCAGGCTGTAAAACTAAAAAGTAGAGAAATGTAAAACACTATCCTTTTTTAAAATTGAGAATATATTTCCCCAGATGTTATGTAATGATATCGCAATCAAGATAAACACCAATAAAATTCTTTTAACTAGACGTGGTTACTGAAAAATATCATGAGTTACTCAATAAGATTGAAAAGCCATATAAGTACCTAGGGTTTACCGTTAATCATCTTTTTCTATGCAGGTGAACACAAAATCAAGACTAAAAGAAAGAAAGTATTGAGCAAGACACTAAATCTGAGTAAGTGATAAGTACTACAGTTGGTCACAAGAAAATAATCAAGAACACAAATAGATAATTTTCTCAGATAGTTAGAAAAAATAAGAATATCCTAGAAAGGTTGACTTCTAATGAGAAGAGATTTTTATCAGAGATTCTTTGGAGAACATAAAGCATTTTTAATTTTCTTTTTTTTTTTTTTATCCTTCCTTTTTTATAGTTTTTTGAATTCAGTTTCTTGGAAAATAATAAACAGTGATAACCTGTTGACAATAATGAGTAGGTTAGGAGGGTCTTCATCCAAAACTTGGTCTAAAATGAAATATTGTCCTCAAGGTTGCACTTAGAGACTAAAGTTTTTCTGAGAATTGAAAGCCATTGACAAGTATGTTAATACAAGTCTTTTAGTTTAGCCATAATACAATTGCCTTATGTATCTCTAGCCATTTTCTTAATGATTAATAAATACATAGTATTGACCTAATCATGAATTAAAAAAAAAATAAATAAATAAAATAAATAAATATCATATAATTATATTTTTAATACTTGTTCTATTTCTTATATTTTTTAAAAAAAAATTTTATCAATAATTTCCAAAGTATTATTATTACTAAAAATTTTTATTTTTATTTTATTAATTATTATATACTTTATAGTAACAATCAATATAAATTATTTAAAAACAAAAATTGATAAAAAAAAAGAAATTTTTTAAAAATAATATTTAAAAATTATTTGAAAAAAATATAAAAAATAAATTTAGTAATAAGATATAATACATTATAGAAATTTTATAATTTATAATTTATAATTAAGATTTTAAAAATTAATAATTCACTTTTTTTATTAATTATTTAATTATATAAAAAAAAAGTATTTTTATCAAATTATTGAATTACAGTATATACAAAAAGAATTTATCAAATAAATTTTTACTCTGGAAGATTTTGATTGGCTATTATCATAAATCATATAATAATCAATAAAAAAATAAAGATATTTAATAATAATAAAACTTTAGAATGTATTAATAAAATTTTTTAAATAAAATAAGTATTAAGACATAGTTTATTATATGTAAATTTTATAATTTTTGACTATATAGTTAATGATTTAAAAATTTAAAAAGTTAAAATTTATAATAAAACATAGTAAGTGAACTTAAACTTTTGAAAGCGACTATATATTATAATTTTCTAAGACTATTTTGAAGATTATTGTTTTATTTTTAAGTATAATATTATGTTTTTATCAAATAACTTAATTAAATTTAATAAATTATATATTTATTTTTTATTTTTTTATATTTTTTTGAAGAATATATTTAATTTTTTTTTTTAAGGATAACGAAGCTTAGTTATATAGGAATTTCAGTTATATACAGTGTGTACCTAGTTATATATATATCAAAGAATACAATATATATAGAAAACTTAATATCTTTTATAGTGCCTCAATGCGAACTCATTTTCAAGTTATTAGCTTGTCAATGTGACTTATTACTGGAAGAAGTTCAACTATTCAACTACATATATTTATGTTATAATTCTCTTAATTATTTCTCTTTAACCCCTAGACCTATAACATAGGACCATTTTCATATCTCATTCTATCAAGTATTCTTTTTATAATACTTATTATAGTATACCTATAGAATATACAAGTGGAATCTTAGATATCATTTCGTCCTATCAGTAAATCTTTTTATATGACCTATTATAGCCTGCCTATAGAGTGACTACATGAAGTCTTGAATGGATATAGATTCTCTATATAAAACTTCTTCTAATTAACATGTCTAAGTTCTACTAATCTCCTGATTTATGGAATACAGAATTTCAACCTATCTACAGATAATGTTGGGTCCCTAAAGTATTTAACATATAAAATTTCACAAATCACTTATGTCCCTTTTTGAAGAACAAAATTCATAGCTCTTCACATTAATAGGAACAAAAATTAGGAAATGCTATAAACCAATGATTTGAATAATAAAGAACAATTATGAATAGTTTTTTCTATTGTTATTAATTTAAAAATTTTAATGTTTTCTAGTGAGGGACATTTGACTTTTGTCCCTACCTCCTCCTTTAGGAACCTATTTTTATCTACAAGAGCTTGTTGGAACCTGTCTTGTAATGAGGTAACTTCAGCACTAAAACTGGCTAAAGCATTTTGTAATTTTTTGATTATCACATGATCAGATAAGATCTTGATCACAAGTGGTAGTAATCATTATCATGAAATGGATAAGATCTTTTTTTTCTATACTATCTAGGCTTAGATAATATTGCCTCACAGTGATATTGAACTCGAAAATAGTACTTGATAACCTGGGAGTGCTACTACTGCACTGTTGATTCACAGATCTATATTTAATTAAAAGTATTTATATTTAAAGATTTTTTATTTCTCAAACTTATGGGTCAATAGTACAGTAATTAACACTCCATAGATCAGATAACAAAACCTGGTTTTAATTCTACACCAATACAAAAATAGATTGAGAAATTGAATCTATCCATTGGTATTACCGTAAATTAATCGATGTTTCTAAAATATAGCATCCAATCTATATCTAGATTGTATCAGTTTGTAATTCGAATTGGATAGGATTATTACTGACATAACTGCGCTACCAGAAATGATAGCAAGAAGAGTAGATCCCCAAACTGGTAGCATATCTCTCAGGACCTAAACAAGACTTATTTAGAAACAGAAATAGCTTAATAAAAGAACTCGTATGCAAAAAGGATTCTTTCAGAATAAGTAGTCCTGGTCCTCATGCATGTGGTTATATCACATTTCACAGACTTAACTATCAGAAGGCCTTGGTGGAAGGAGAAATCTGCGGACCACTCTAAAAAATCAAAAACCAGAATTCAGGATTCTGAATTATACAGTCTGATAACTAGAATATTCTTAAGAAAAAATTGTTCTAGAAATAATTAAGAAAGAATCGTGTGGGCTTTCAGTTGGTGGTTAGGCTGGTAGTTGTAGTAATAGCATTAGTTTAATATATATATAGCTATTTATATAGATATGATTTACTATAACATATATGTATAATTACTTACTTATAATAATACAATAGTTTTAATTAATAAAAATTATAAGTTAAGCTCATGGTGCAAAATTTGTAAACAGCACAGAAAAACAAATAAACATATTTTTCA